CGGCTCGCCGGCCGGCCTGCCGACGTCACGTTCACCACGTAGGGCCCCAGGGTGTGGGTGATGTAATGGTGCAGGCTCCTGCAGCTGTCCTGGGGGGCAGAAAGCCACATGTACAGCCAGCTCCCCTGCTGGGCGTGGTGGGACGGGAGAGCCGACGCCACCATCTGCCCCCCTCCCCCACCTTGCAGGGCCCCCCCACCAAGCAGAGCTGGGACTCGGGGCCCTGGTGGAAGGGGAGCAGCCAGGACCAGCGTGCAGGGCCCCTGGGAAGGGATCTGAGACCCCACACACTCATCTCACACCCCAAGGGTGAGTCAGCTGACACAGAGGGGCAGCAATGCAGGTACAGGCCTTGCGGATGGGCAGGGGCAAGGGCCGCCAGAGACCAAGGCACAGACCAGTGCAGCTCTTGGCAGCCGTGCTCTGCAGGGGGCGGAGGGGGTACTTACGGCTGAGCGGGAGTAGGAGTTGTCCCCCCACAGCACCAGGCCGGTGGCGCCAAGTGCCGCGCTTTCCCCGATGGTATGGACCAGGTCAGCCTGCCGGGGGGAAGGGAACAAGAAAGGGAGAGTCAGACAAGGAAAATGGGGGTGCCACTTCTGGCCTCAGGTGCTGGGGGCGTTTGCTTTGCTGGCCTCACAGGATCAGGACAATGCTTTCAGGATCCCAGGAGGAATCTGTCTCCCCCCCCCACCCGGTGCTAGGAGGGGGGGGCAGCAATGTTCCCTCTAAGTTTTTCCCTCTGTGTTCAGAATAAATTTTGTTATGTGCACCGAGGATGTGCAGATGTGCACCACCAATAGAAACACATGCTGCCAGCTGTGATCAGCTGTGGGTGCTCTGCTAAGCAGCTGGGCAGCACCTGAATCTCTGCTGGGCAAACGCACAAGTGCCCGGCTTTCAGGGAGCACTGGGGGGGCAGCCAAGCACCCCCAGCAGGCAGATCCATGTGAAGTCCAGTCAGCCACTCTAGACTCAACCGGGCTTCCAGCGGGCGGCAGGGAGCCAGAGCAGCAGCCCCATGTGGAGGGGAGACAGAGCAGTGGGGCTGGGGAGCCAGGAGCCAACTTGTCAATTTCATGGCTGGGCAGAGCCCTGAAACTGACAAGGTGGCCAACAGCAGCTGTAAGAGCTGCCACCTCTACCCAGTCACTGCCCCGACACAGGCCTCTCGCTGCGGTCGGTGCAGCCAGGGACTTACCCCAGCAGTGGGCGCATTGCAGTGTGCCTTGTCGACAAAACCCTGTCGCACAGACACGGCCCGCGGCAACGGGGTGTACCCGGATTACAACAGCCGCCCCCTCCTGGCTGCCCTACAGCAGCCTGCTGGTCATGGGGGGCAGACCCAAGCTATTCCCGCCCATGCAGGCTACCGGGCACAGGGCCCCCAGCTCCGGTTCTCACCTGGGACAGGTACTTGGCGGAGTGCTGGTAGGAGACCCGGGAGTACGCTAGGACCGGCAGGGGGGCGGTCCGCGGCCGCCCGGTGCCCC